GTTCTGAAATGTCGATGATGGGAGACAGCTCTCTTCTCGAGCTTTAGAGACTTCCAGTGGGTGAGGTAAATGTGAACTGATCATCCTACATTGATCCTTAACTTGCTGTGTGACTTCAAGTAAGTGACGCAATTTCTTTATCTCAATGTCTAAATATATGCACATTTGGATAACAGTCATTATTATAAGCTTTCATTGGAATTGCTTATTTTGATAACAATGACTGATCAAAATTAGACCACTACTGCTTTTTTTCTCATTTGTTTTTTATTTATTAAAACTTTATTATTGAAATTATTACATATGTCCACTTTTTTTCTCCCATTGACCCCCTATAACCCACCCCCATCCTTTGCCCCAGGTCTCCACCACCTGTTGTCTATAGGTTATGCATATATGCATACAAGTCCTTTGGTTGATCTCTTCCTACCTACTCACCTACTCCTGCCTTTCTCTCAAAGGGAACCTTCATGCATTGTTGGTGGGAATGCAGATTGGTGCAGCCACTACGGAAAACAATATCAAGATTCCTGAAAAATTTAAAAATGGAACTGCCTGATGATCCAACAGTTCTATTTCTGTGTATATACACAAAGAAATCCAAAACACTAATTTGAAGGAATACATGCACCTCTATGTTCATTACAGTGTTATTTACAATAGCCAAGATATGGAAACAAGCTAAGTGCTCATCTATAGGTTGAATAAAGAAGTAGTGATACATGTAAATGATGGAATATACTCAGCAATAAAAAAATAATGAAATCTTACTATTTTCAACAACATAGATGTACCTAGAGGGCATTATGTTATGTGAAATAACGCAGAAGAGACAAACACCATAAGATTGCACCTATATGTGGAATATAAAGAACAAAATAAATGAACAAAATAGAAAGAGACTCATAGAAACAGAGAACAAACTGAGGGTTGCCAGGTGGGAGGGGTGTTGGGGAGCTGGGTGAAGAAGGTGAAGTGATGAAGTACAACTTTGTAGTTACAAAATAGTCTCGGGGATGTGAAGTACAGCATAGGGAATACAGTCAATATTATTGTAATAACTGTGTGTTAGGCTAAGTGGGTACTAGAATTATTGGGAGGATCACTTTGCAAATTATATAATTGTCTAACCACCATGCTATCCACCCAAAACTAATATATTATTGAATATTAATTGTAACTGGGGGGGGGGGGGGAATCACTCTCCACAGTGTTTCCAAGAAAAGATATGTCCCAAACATGCTTCCCTTGCTTCACTAATAATAAATATGTGTGCAGTAGCTGCTATCCCACTGTAATGATTAAAATAAAGAACGAAAGAGAAGGAGGTAGCAGAGGAGGGCAGGGAACAGAGACTTGCACCTCATTTCCAGGAGATCCCGCCCGATTAGTGCCGTGGCCGTTGCACCCAAGGGAGTAGACAGCTTAAGTGAAAGGAAGTCCCAGAGGCCAGGCAAGCTGCTGCTCAAAGATAAGGTTGGAACCGAGGGCCTCCCAGAAAATATGACAGACCTTTATTATTTTTTTTTTCTTTCCAGAACTTGGTCCTTTCCCCATAGCATTTTATCAATCTGCCTCAGCTTGCTGGGCCTCAGGCACCCACGCACTAGAGTAAGTGTTTTGTGGCTTTAACCTCCCCTGCTACCAGATAGCTACCAGGCTCTTTACACCTGCTAATTATAACCCTTAAAACAGCCCAGCCGGGGAGTCATTTCTTAATGTCATGTTACAAGTGGGAAAACCAGATGCCAAATGACTCCAAAAGTCTAATGCCATTTAGAAAAGTTCAGGACCCGAAGTAAAATGCAAGTCTGTCTGACTCTGAAACTGCTGTTCTCTGTATTTGACTAATTGGTTTTGGCGCTCTTCTGCCAAGTTGTTTGGGGATTATTCCCATCCTAGAAAAAGTACTCCCCTTCATAGGAATATAATAATTGTATATGTATACATACATATGTATGCATATTTAGGTTTAGTTTCAGTTTTCACATGATGAAAGCTATAAACAAATTTGTCTTTTTAAATCATTCCTACCACTTGAAACTTTGTAATTGTTCAATGCCACTCCCATATCAACAGTTTGGTGTTCATCTTTCTGGGCTCCCTCTATATATTTATATGTAAATATGTTTTGATAGCCACGTATGTCTTATATTTTTAATATCAGTAACATCATAATAACCTTTCAATTAAAACTTAACCATATGTTGTTTATTTGACTTTAATATTTTTTATTTTTCAATTACAGTTTAACCATATGTCTGAGAATAGCACTTTTACTTCTTGATTTTTAAAGATGGTAAAATGTTTCATACTGTAGATGAACCATAGGTTTTGAAGTTTTTAATGGAAGATCACTAGTGATTCTTACCAGAGGATTACAACCCAAACTCTGCTCGGAAACTTCAGGCATTAGGACAAGCAGGGAGAGGGGGTGTTGGGAAGCACCTGGGGGTATATAGTACAGTTTAGTGGTCAGTGCCTCAGACCTGAATCTAAACTGTCTGGCTTCTGGTCCCAGGTGCAATGATTACTGATAAACTTGAGTAAGTCAAATTCTGTGGTTGGTTTTGCTCTCTAAAAGATGTGGGTACTGCTTACTTCAGAGGTCATAATGAGGATCCCAATCACAGTGCATATGAAAGACAAAGCCTGGGACGTAGCAGGGACACATTAAATGTAACTATTATTCTTACTGTCACTTTTGCCTACCCACACTCAAACACTTTCCATTTCGAGGGAGTTTTTAAATAAAGGTCTTGCGTTCCATTGTGGAGAAACTCAAGTTGGGTGGATATTTCCGGCCCTCCCCCACCTCACTTTGGCAGTTCAAGCCTGTGACCTGGGATCAACCAATTTAGAGATCAGTTATGCAAAATACACAGGAGTTGACACCTGGGGGATGCTTGTAAACACAGTCGGTCTTCTAACTGGAAGGTTCCTGTGGTGCCTCTACCTGTGACCTCAGCTTGCCTTGGTCAGACTTGTTCCCTGACATTTGGGTTGATTCTCTGAGCAGCCTGGTACCTGTCCAACAAATCCCACTTTCTCTTTAAGAAGAACATTTGGTTTCTATAGTTTACAACTAAGGAACGTGATGATGCAGTATCCCCTCTGTATCCTTCTTTAATCTCACTATTTACTCAAAATATTTATTGAGGACTGTCTGTGTCTGACAGGAATGCTAGAGCCTGTGAAATTGTTCCTCTAACAAATTCAAGGACATGCCTAGAAAAAATACATTCACACTAGGATACCCTGACCCAGCTGCAATGCACTTTTGGACCTGTCACTGGATTTAGGGCATTTTTATGAGTTGGAACCATGAGGCTGCTTATTTACACACACGCTTTGGGGGGAAAGTCAATTGTAAGGTAAATGGGAAGTTAAATGGCTATTTATCACTCTTTTAAAAAGAGTTGTGTGTGTTTTTTTAAAAAAAAATCTAATGAAACAATTTTGCATGTAGGAAAACCATATAAAC